TTTATGGTGAAAATTTCAGATCTTTTGGTTGCACTTTAACTGAAATACCACTATTCGAAAGATTAGACGAACTATATATATTACCCTACAAAATTTTAAAAAGTAACTCCTTCACCATTTTTCATAGACATGCTCAAATGAACTGGAACTTTGGATTTAGAGGTTTCTTGACATGAACTTTCATTTGAAACACTTAAATCGAATATTTGAAAATAAATCGTCAATCTTCATAGGGAGAGTCGGGGTCCAAATTTGGTCTTCATAGTCTTGTTCAGAAAATTTTTGCTACCAGAGTTCATTTCTACAAACTTTTGAAAACGCTATTCGACGCAGTTTGATGTGCTCTTTCAAATAAGACTATTTTCAAACTATTCTACCGCGCTGATATCACTAAGTCCTTATACATACGTAGAAACAGTTTCTGAAAATGGTATAGAATGCCGATCGAAAACAATCCAATGAAAAGGTATTTTCAATCCCATCAAAAGATAGCCCACAATCGATAGTATCTATGGTAAAAAAATCTCTGTTATAGCTCTTATCGTTGTTGAGAAAATGCAAATCTACTGAAAAGTATTGCACTATAAAATGCACCAAAAATGACCTACCCCCCAATAGTTGTGTCCACTATATCTCCAGACTGGCTTATCTATTTGAGCTGAAATTTTGGGTCTCTTCCTAAATATGTTAGGCCTACCTACTGTGAAAATATCAGCCAAATTGGTGAGACCGATTGCGCAAGGTCGGTCATGGCTTATGTGCAATGCCTCCTAGGAATTTCTAGAAATTCGCACGAATTCCATCCAATTTCACTTCGACTGAATTCCCGGAATTCCGTAACGAAATTGCTGACTTATTTCAGTGATTAATTTATAACCATACAGTCTAACATGAGGGTGAGGGCAGAACGTCATTCCGTGACGGAATTCCAGAAATTAGGTCGAAGCGGAATTCGGCGGAATTCCCAAGAATTCCTAGGAATTCGGGAATTCTGAGAACTGGTTCTGGATCGGCATCAATTCCCGAAATTCCGAAATGCCAGACCTTAGATTGCTACAGAATCAGACGGAACTCCTAGAAATCACAGCTAGCTTAGAATCGACTCAATTTCCCGAATTCCGGGAATTGAGGGAACACAGTCCCTGTCGAATATGTCCAATTTTTTGAATGATTTTCGAGTTCCCGGAATTGCATGGGACTGATTTCGAGGCCGGAACTGATTCTACAATGTTCAACATCGCGGAATAGGATGCATTCTCAAGAAAAAGAAGAATTTGAAAAGATGGAAGACAAGAACGTCGCTCAGTGAAGTGACAATAACACAGTGGATCAATGGACTCAAGCAAATGATTAGATCAATTTACTACGTATTTCAGAGATCATAAATAATATTTTCACTTTTCTATAAATCTTGCCATGCTAGAAATACAAGTTGCAAACGAAATAAAAGACACTCGTTTATTTATTTCGATAAGATAAAAAGAATAATGAGAAAGTCAAATGGTGTTCTTATTTCTTAAATTGGTGGTTCCCAACGTGACTCACCAGTATTTCCATTAAAATAATAAAAACGTTCTTCTCTTCGACTCCATTGCTTAGTCCAACCAGGTGGTAATATAATGCCTGAATCTGGTTCGATCGGTAATGGTTTAGCTCGACAAGGAACGGTCACAGCTTGATGTGCTTCATTCCAATTTTCTCCATCAATCACAAAATTGATCTATAATTCAGAAAAAGATGAAATTCATGTTGAATTGACTGAAGAAAAAACATGCCTGTTGATCATTTTTCTGATCGATAAAGAAAAGACGTTTGTTCAATGCTTGAATTTCTCGTTGTAAAAGACGTTGACTTGTATCAGCAAGATATTGTTGAAATTCTGTTTCAAGTAAACATTTCAATGGAACAACTTCTAAAATATGTTGATGTTTTTCATATTTAATTAAATTATCTAGATGTTGACTAATTGAAGGATGAACAGGATGTTTCAATTCTTGACAAACTAAAAAGCGTACAGAACTAGCTGGATCAACTGTAAATGGACGAAGAATAGTCAGAGATTTAAATGAACGATAGAGTAAATAAATAAGACCAGCTGTAAAACGTGTTAATGTATCTAATAGTTTACAGACAAAATGACCACCTTCATGAAGTTGTATTAATGCATTTCGACAGGCTTGAAGAAATTGATATTTATTGTATTGTCCCATATAACGTCTATTGATAGGCAGATTATTTGATAGAAGGGAAACATCAGAGAAATAAAGATGAACTCGAGGATAATTTGCACTAACTTGAGATTTGATAAGAACAGATGAACTTTGTGGAAATGAATGAGGTAAATCAGAAATAATAATGCCATTGAGTTGATTTTGTTGTTGCCAAACAAGATATTCAGCAAAACCGGTTAACGATCGATTATCAATAATAAATGACAATGAAGAAGAATTCTTTAAATTAACTGATGTCTATCAAAGAATAAAAGAGAAATGTCGTCTTTCATACATGAAATATTTCCTTACTAAATGAAAAATTTTGTCTAATGAAGCCAATTGAAATGCTGATTGATAATCAAGATAAAAGCCATGTATTTCTCGATATTTATGATCTTTCATCAACAATTCCAGCTGATCACTAATGAAAATCTTTGCTTTGTTCATAGTTGTACGATCGAACTTTCGAAAATATTCTTCACGTTTCTTGTATAATAATTCCAAATCATCAAATTTAACAAAAAGTGATGATAAAACTGATCGTAAATTTGAACCAATTGTGATTGATCGATAACTTAATATAGGAAGAGTTGTTTGACAATAAGAAGATATTGATTGATCGAAACTTGAAAATAATGGTTCATCGATAACTGATGGCAAAGTTGATGATGCTGATGATGTTAAATTCATCGATGATTGATAATGATGACCTAAACCAAGACGACTTTCATGCATTGAAGTTTCGACTGGTGTTGCTCGTCCTTGACTATGGACACCTAAACCTTGTCCAGGGATATAACCACTTTTTTTCATTAATTTCATGGCAATGGATTCTTTTTCTTGATCATTCGAAGTTTGCATGGATACTTCATCGAATGTATCCTTTCTAATATATTCTCCACCAACAGCGACGGTTTTTCCTTGTCCTAAATTACATCTTTTCGATAATTGTTCTTGATCTTGATTATCTTCGGTATTATTATTATTTAATAAGAATTCTTCTCGATCACGTTTTCGACCTTGTCGATCAGAAAGTGTTCCACCTGCACGTTGTTTTAATCCACCTTTGACCACTGCTGCACTATTTCCTAATGATTTAGCTGATCCATCAAGTTCAACATTGCTTACGATCCGTACTTGTTGTATATAGTGAAAATCAATTGAACATCGCCGACGAAATTCTTTCACAACATCTTGATTCAAGTGAAATATTGCTTCTTGAACATTTCGATTCCAAATTTTTTCTAACTGTAGATTTCGTTCTAATGCTTGAATTTGTTTGATTGTAAAATATTCAGCAATTTGAATTAAAGTATTGAGAAAAGATTCAGGAATAGAATTCAATGGTAGTAATGCTTTATTTGGAGGAAATGTTGGTGAAACGAATGAAAGTAAAGAATGAAGATGATGAGAATCGATACCACGAAATCCAAGTGCAATTATATAGGTTTCACCATTCGGTGCTCGTGATGATGCTGGTTTAAATACACTTAATTCTTCAAAATGAAGTGCCACGATATAAAGAAGACAAATAGTTTCACATTCAAATAAATTAAACATTTTTAATACTAATGAACCACCTTTTACTAGAGCACCCATAGCACAGATTGTTTCAGCATAATGAAGTTCAGATACAATAGATTCTTGTTCATTAGGATCGCCTGATGTATCTACAGATCCATCACCTGTCACTAAATGAACACCATTCGACCTTGGATCAGTCTAAAATAAATTTTCAGACAATTACTTCGACTTTAGTATACGATCGACGAAGAACTAATCTCTAGGAAAGCTACCCTCTTATCCTCTCTCTAAGGATTTTACTGTTTATACAACGTTCAAGCTTCAAAAAAAGCTGAAGATTTCTAGTCAGACGAAAACTGTCATTAGAACGATAGAGAAGAAAGCATAAGTTCTATCACTACCTAACGGTGTACAAACAGCATCCCTAAAGAAGAGATCATACTTAAGCGAAAAATTGTTGCATTTAGTCGTTGTTATGAATGCTAGTGTAGCCATGACTAATGAATGAACTCACTCGGATTCTCTTCCATAAACCTTTGATATTATTTGTATCCAGAATATTTCCACTATTATCTTCGCCAAAATACCATCTTTCTAATGTTTCGACGATAAATCGATCATCATCAACCATCGCTTCTTGATCATTGCCTTCATAATATGGATTCAATGAAAGACCTGTCCATTGCCATTGCTGACCAGGTGAACGTGAATTTCTTTTTTCGATAGTTTGATTATGATAGAAGTTCGTTGCACAAATAAAGGCACCTGGTGCTTCGCATACATGTATGCTTCGAAACGATTGATTGTCAGGCAACTCTACAATAATAGTAAGAATTATTTTTCACTTGAATAACAAATTTGCTTTCATATGATGTCTTCTGAGAATATCCCCGGAAACTCGATTATGTCCTAGGGTAAGAGGTATATAGGTATAGGAGGTACAGAGGTATGGGAGGTATAGGAGGTATAGGAGACACAATAAACATTTATTTATTTTTTTATAATTGCTTTTTTCGAGCAAGGATCGATAACTTAAATGAATATATCTGACTGAATCACTATTCAAAGTCAAGCACTGTATAAAGATTATCTGCACTAGTTAATTAATATCTGCTATACCTCCTATATCTGCTATACCTGCTATACCTCTATACCTCCTATACCTGTATATCTATATACCTCTTACCCTAGGACATAATCGAGTTTCCGGGGATATTCTCCGAAGACATGTAATCACGATATACATATTTCGTGTGAAAACAAAAAGGACAGTCAAGGAAATATAACAGAGAAATTGCGATCTTCAAAGACTTTCTATTCTAATGAACTGTTGTAATTTAATCAATAGTTGGCTTTTTTTCCTAGTACGAGGACAATAAATGCAAAAACATTAGAAGCCTTTTTCATGTTGAAATGTATTTTTCCTCCATGCTTCTTTTACCACGTCTGTGATATAACAGAAAGATGTGAAGATAATATATGCTTCTAGTGTGACATTTTTATGTCATCATAAATCTCGTTGGATATTAAATACATCTGAATGGTATGATATCAGACTTTTATCATAGTGTATTGTGTGGTTTAGTTGGTTTAATGTCTAGAAGATGTGAACTCTCGGTATGATGTGCAAATAAATCTTAACTATTCGAGTAAAAAATACTTTTGATGATGATATATGAGAGAACCTATGTTCTTCTTTCAGCTATTCGATAAATATTTGTCCTTGTTAAAATGAATTATCAAAAACAATGTATATTTGGACAGATTTGAATTCTTGAGAAATATTTACCTGCTGGAATGAGACTTTTGTATTTCGAAAATATTTCAGCCATTTTAATCCAAGCATTTGTACACATTTCAATCTGATTTTGATTTCGAAGTGACCAGACAACACGTCCAGTCATGTTTGTCTTACCTGTATGTTGTTTCCAAACTTTAATATCTTTTTCATTTAATTGATTACGTGTATCATTAAGTTTAGTTTTCAGTTCAATTAATTGATCGATATCCCATCGATCAGTGGCAAAGAGATTCTCAGATGATAATAATGATATATTAGCAGGAGGATTTACCCTTGGAAAGGTTTTCTTTTTATCAAAGAGTTCATCTCTTCCTTGATTAACTAAACGATATTCCTCGTTAGTCAGTTTTGGATGACGATCACGGTTGTAAGTTTGAAAAGAATCATTGTCATTTCTGGAATAACGAGATCGATCACCACCATGACCTCTCCAATTTCCTCTATGGGATTGATCCGAATTGTTGCTAGACATTTGCTTCAATAATATCTAAGAAAAACAAAAAACTCATGTGAATACAATAAGACAAGTAGAGAATAGGGGTTCTTGGTTGAATAAATCTAGAGGAATAACCAGGATTCTGACAACTGAGAGAGACCTCAAATGCCAGAGCAAATGGCTCAGATTTGACTGATGGAAACAGAAGACTAAGTTTCTCTGACCACCCATGGGTTACACCACAAGAGAAGTCTAAAACGAGAATATATGTTTATAAACTGACAGCACTATTTCATATTCTTTCGAAATTCTTCAAATACAGTAATGTCACAACAAAAAAGAAGTTGATGCAAGTTCTGTGAAAAAAGACGAATTCTGTCTTATTCGAGTGAAGACCCAAGTGAACTGGTGACGGGCTAGATGTCGAGTATTTTATTCAGTCATGTTGGCTCGACGTGTCTAGTCTAAGTCTCAAAAAGTCCTCGTCCAGGGCTAGTCTGAAGTCTACTGCGTCCTGGAACCTAGTCCGTAGTCCATCATTGACAGACGTCATTGCAGATGTATAGTCCAGTCTTGAGGGTGTGAGTGTGGATGTGGGTGTCGGTGAGTGGGTGTGGGTGTGTGTGGATGGGTGTCGATGTGTGGGTATGAGTGTGGGGGTGGGGGTGGGGGTGTGAGTGTGAATGAAAAGAAGACTTAAACCCACACCCACACACCTACACCCACCCCAGACCCACAAACGCACGCTCTTATTTTGTTCTGACTAATGATCTACAGATTGCCATTTTTGTTTATGATTGAGATAAAATTATGGTTCTACAAAATCACTTTTTTCGATCCTGAAACGGAACCATCTTGAAGATCCCTCCTGAAAATAGTACTCATAGTTCTGCAGATCCTAAATTTTGATATTATCAAAGTGACTCTTGAGGGAACACCAATATAAGCTCACTCATTTAGATTTTACATCTATGCAAGAACTCTGAGCTTTGACAGAATTTCCCCAGTTACACGGCCAGAACCAAGGAAAATCTTGAGTGAGATACAGAAGTGGCTTTGTATTTTTGTTTTGATACATGCATGTGAAACGTATGCTCATACTATTAATAGCTCAAAATCATCGATGTCAATTTTATATGTATTTAAAGAATTATACAGATTATTAAAAGAATCTTTTTTTTCTAGAAACGAAATCAGGCCAGAAGCAATAAACAAATTTAATTGAGACTAGAACCAGAACCGGGGCTGGGACTAAAATAAAGATGGTCCTGCCGATGCCTATTCTGGACTACTCCGAAGTGGTTGCAAAACATTTTTTGTCATGATAACTAGTCATGACGAATATAGAGGATGTTTCAGACTAGACCTGACTGATATTGCAAACTTGTTGAAGTAGTCATGTTGCCAGTCTTCACTTATTTTTTGCTTACTTGGAGAGGTGAGATCACAAGAAGTTTCTCTGTACAAGAAGATTTGTTTTCATCCTATCTGATAAATGTAACGGAATCCATGATAGATTACACGTAATATGTAAAAATGGTCACGTGCAGGAGAGAAAAAACATCAACCTACTCTTTTTGCTTCGCTCCTTCGGTATGTGAATTCATTTTCTTCAGATTATCAAACGACCAATGATAATTCGACAAACTTTTTCGTTTTCAGACAACACTGTTAGTATGTTTTGTCACTCATAGAAGAGAAAAAAAATGAAGGCTGTGAGTTTGCCGTCATTTTGTTTGCTCGCCAGAAAATGTTGATCAACAGAGAGGAAAGAGAAAAGCAGAGCGATGTCAGAGTTGATACAAAAGAATGAAAACGTAAAAATGCAGCACTTATCAAAATAGATGCAAAAGAGACCAATCCTAATATTGATCATCCACATATACTCTTTTTTATTACCGACGCGATAAAAGCAATGTTGCTAGATTTCGATCTTGTTCTATCTCTGACTAGCTTTAATAAGACATCTTTTAAAATCACCCGGTTCAATCCACTAAACAACTGAATACTCGGCTAGAAAAAGTCAACATAAACTTGAATTTGATTTTTTTTAAAGTAAATGTTGACTCTGTTCGCACTTATCTCTGGGAAAAAATGTGCCTACTTTACTATATGTGATAATTTCAAACATAGATTTGGTATTCAGAAACCTATTGTAGAAAAAAAAACATGTCTATGTATAATGATTTCAATTTTCGTCCGAATTCTGGACGTGGTTGGTCTGACTTATCTTCACGTCGAAGTCATAAACCTGGAAGACCATATTCTCGAAATCAAAATACTACTCATGCAGGCCGACAGCAAACCCCTACTGAACCTACTGCAACCAGTCATCCCGGTGTGTCGCAATCAAAGGCAAATGATGATGAAATAACCGCTTATGCTGTTAATCTTCAGTTAAAACCAGTAGAAATGGGATTTGAGGCAGGAAATAAGAGATGGCAGTACAGATTCAACGGTTTAGGTGCATTTAATCGTTATTTTGGTTTATTATCACCAACGAATAGCTTGGGTTACACACTTCCTGACATTTGGGATGGTTATTTTCACATAACACTTGCAAAATTCTGCACTGCTTATTCACCTGATCAACTCGAAAACAAGTTTAAAGCGTTTCGTCCTTCTATCGAAGATCTACCTCATATTCCCGATATTGTATTTCAATCTTCAAATATTGTTAGATTTTCAGGTGAAAACCGATCAAAAGGACGAGCTGGTATCGACTTCATAGTGCTACCTATCAATCGTCATGATCAAACAGATTCATTTTATCAGCAAGTTCAACCATTATTACATCAAATTAAAGAAAGATCAAACGCAGAAAAAGATTGGAATTTAACACAGTTGGACCAACTTCATGTAACCATACGCAAATATTCCAATGTCAATTTTGATATATGTAATATTCCGATTGATCAATATCCAATTGAATTTCGGTGTTCTCATTTTGAAATCAAACAAACACGAGAACAAGCAAGGAATCGATATAAATACGCAATCAACAATGGATATAGTCGGTACCAATGGTGGTCAGGTGTTACAGAAATTGACGGAAAATGTTCGGGTTGTGATACACCTGTTCTAGCTGGTCAATGGGAAGGCTTTTGTATAGCATGTGGACAATATGAGTCAATTCTTCCTCTTTGGTCAACAACCGGCAATGACAATTGGAATCTTTAAACACAATTACAATAAAGACTAATCAAAAACTAAACAAACTATTTCTTATATCATTTAAAATGACTTACTCGATGAATTAAAACATAATCATTCTTTTTTTTCAGCTAGGCATCAAAATTATATTTTATCAAAGAGTTGTATGACAAATAAAATTAAGAGAAATATATCATAGTATTAGTATAGAATAAGACAGAAGAAACTCAGATAAGAAAAATAAAGTGCGATGAAAAAGAAAGAGTTATCATGACGCATGCCTTGCATTCAAATTGTAAGTGAGACAGAAACTATTAAATGGAAAGAGATATGAATTATCACTCGAAACGAAAGTATTGAATCTATAACGAATCCATGCCAATAATACAATGAGTGGGAGGAAAAAGGGAGTTTACAATGTACGGTTGGACAACATCCACAATATTCCAAGTCGTCTTTTTCTTTTAATGAAAACCAACAATAACCAGCGTTTTTTTTTCAAAACCTCCGGTAATAGATGATTATAATCAAAACTGCCAGATAACCGGGGTTAACCAACAGTCCAAATCCAAACCGACGGTTGACTGCGGGGGGCCGACGGTCAATCGTGGTTAACCAACAGTTGAAATATAAACCGACGATCAATTGCGGTTAACCCGCGATTTTGTTCAGTCACTTTCAGTAATTATAATCTATAAAAAAATTAACCTCAAACGTATTCATAATACCGAAACTGTATCGATTACCATAAAAAGATTTAATAAATATTTTCGTTCGATATACTATGCACTGCTTTTGTAGTTAATAGATATAATATTAAATGCGTGAAATAGAGGATCATACTATTTTTTTCATTATCCCACTGGATTGTTGATGTGCCTATTTATCCTATACTCTATTTTTTGCCTATAGATACATGTTATAAGATATACCCTGCACACGCATCAAATAGTCTACATATGATTGCGTCTCTTTATTGTATTTAAATTCCGTCGGGTCGAAATATTAGAAGTAGTCTCTGAACTTTACAGAAAATTGTACCTCGACTAAGCTTTTTTTCGGTTCGGTATAAGCCCTTCATATACAGTTGTAGTTTGAGTTTTCAATGCGCCTTTTTCAGATATGTGTCACAGTTGACATGGGAATTCAGTTGAGTTTGGAATGCATGTAAATAGTATGAGTCACACGATAATTAATGTTTGTGTACTATTGTATTCAACTGTTGTAATTTTAGCGATTCTAAATGATTCGTCGAACTTCTATGATCTATTTGGAATTATTTTAAAATATTTACATATAGAAAGTTTTCATTTTTAATCATTCTTATTTAGTGAATATTAGAATTTTATGAATTTTATTCATCTCCTTATAATTAATCGATTAATGTTCGTTGCTATGGAACATTCAATCAAGAAACACATTCTATATCTGTTTGTTTTTAATTACATTAATTGTTTCTTCATGTGAATCTCTTACAAAAAAAAATTATTCTATAAAAACAAATAGCTCGAATACTCTCGATTTCGTTTCAACCAATCGTTCAATGTCTCCATGTCCCGCTGCTCGAAAAAAGATCTATTCTAAAGAAACAAATAACTCAAATGCTCTCAATTTCGTTTCAACCAATGATTCAATGTCTCCATGTCCCATAGCTCGAAAAAAGTGTCTGTTCTATAGAAACGAATAGCTCAAATACTCTCGATTTCGTTTCAACCAATAATTCAATGTCTCCACGTCCCGCAGCTCGAAAAACATCTATTCTATAGAAAGAAATAGCTCAAATACTCTCGATTTCGTTTCAACCAATGATTCAATGTCCTCATGTCCCGCAGCTCGAAAAACATTTATTCTATAGAAAGAAATAACTCAAGTACTCTCGATTTTGTTTCAACCAATCGTTCAACATCCCCATGTCCCGAGCATCTATATAGAAACTACAACATAAGGAAAATGATGAGTAAGATTTACTTTTAGAAGGAAACAATAAATAGAATGACTAATGACTTTTCATCAACAAGATAACAGTACGAAGATACTTTTTATTGTCCGAGAAGTAATAGTAAATATAAATTTGACAAGAAACAAACAAGTTTTCTTGAATACGTGTTAGAAAAATTTTTAAACAAACAAAGTGAACTAAGTAATTTCAATCTCAACTAGATTCCAAACTCAACTGCAACATATATAACTGTGCAGCACACATAGACATTTTCCATACGAACTATGTCATTTCATATCTTGGTTTTTTCCTTTTTCTTTTGTGTCACTCTATATGTATATATATGTAGAAATATATATATGTTCATGTGTGTTCTCTTGATCTATCCTTCTCTACCTTTACATGATTAGTATTTTCCCAATAAAACCGAACTGATGTTCATCCAAACTTACAGTTAAAATCAGGATTGCCAGATCTTCTGAAAAGTCAGGAAAATTTATGAAATTTGAACATTTTTCCAATTTGTTGCCGAATTTCAAACGTTTTTAGATGATGGCTTTACTAGCGAAATTAATAACGAGTATAACTCATTAATGTTATAGATTCGTATTCCGCTACCTTCTTTCCTTTCTTAAACTTTTCTAGTTTCTGAGTTCTGCAGACACTGACGAGCACTTTAATATATCAGTAAATTTTTGCATTGCTAAACTTAAGAATGAATGCTAATTATTTTTTTCTTGAAGGATTTTGTAAATATATTTTAACTCAAAAATATTTATTGAAGAAATTTTGAACGAAAGAAAACTTAAAAATTTCATCTGCATTGTTTATATATATAATTTGTTTGAGGATACTTTTCGTAAACAGAGTTTTTGGCTTCGTAAAAGAATTCGACACTAGATGTCTTTTGCTAGTTTTTTTTGTATTAACTAACAGTTGAAGGTCATGCAACCGTAAATTAAGAAGATTGCTCATAGTCGAATTGAATGAATACTCGTGTTCACAAACCAACTAGTTTAAAACATGAGCTGCTAATAGCATACACAGATAGAGATGTTTACATTTTAAGATATTTATAGTTTGTCATGTGTTCATACTACGACATTTCATCAATTTTTAGTTTTCTTTTTTTGTCAGGATTGAATGGAACACGACTAATTTATATAAGAAGAAGCAATATCACACACACATTCAAAAGCAATTTAAGAGTAATTAAAATTTTTTGTTTATTACTCTCATAATTAAAAACATGTTGTCTTAGACTTCATAAAATTTGCTTTT